ATATGTGATGTGTGATACAACATTAATCTATAATTATTTTATTTTAATATTATAAAATATGTCACATGTCATCATATAATATGATATATTATAATAATATGATATATATAATATAACAATAGCTAGTACTTATATAGGACTTGAAAGTTAGCAAAGCACTTGACATATTATCTCATTTGATCCTTGCAACAATCCAGAGAAGTGGGTGCTATCATTATCCGCATTTTACAGATAAGGAAGCTAAGACTAATAAAGGTTAAGAAATTTGCCTAGGATCCCAAAGTGGCTGATGTAAGACTTGAACTCCTGCCTTCTTGACTCCAAATCGAGCACTTTCTCCATTATACTACCTATACCCATTATACTTGCCTTTATGCAATAAAATCGTCCCTGATCCTATTTATATATACTTGGCAAACTTCCATATGGGTTTATATCCTATCCCATACATAGGGACATACATTACTAGAGATCCTAGAGAAGGAAAAAGTCAGAGAGTTTACCTGCCCCTGCCCTTTCCGATTCACCACCTTGTTTAATAAGGTGGGTGTGGGTGTGTGGATAGGTGCATATACTCTACCTATACCCACACACCCACTTTGCTTACTGGATTCCTGAACATAAACTCTTCCAGGTGGTCGGTCAGGTTTACTCCTGCTTGCTCAATAAACTAATTAGGCTGCACTGGGCCAAGGGTACCAGAAGGGGAATCATCGGACCCAACATTACTTCTCTACAATCTTCTTTATTTCCACTTGAGGAGATTCCAAACATGCTCTGCTTCCTTCTTTCCTTTGGTCTCTCTCAGCTCATAACTCAGTTAATTCCACCTCAGATAATCTCTTGGGAGCATTTGGGTTTACAAAGACACAACACACACTCTCACACACATGCGCGCGCGCACACACACACACACACACACACAGAGTCCTCTTCCTCTTCAATACTGCTCAGTTCTTTGTGGAAATAAATCTCTTTCATGTTCTCTTTTCCCCCTTCTCTTCTAATTATGAATCAAACCACAACTCTATTCATGGATGATAAGCTTTTAATGCCAGTTTTGAAAAAAAAAACTTTTGAAAAAGTTCTAAGCTTTGAAATGATATTAGACCAGTACCATCAACTTCCAAAGTCTTTGAGAATACCAGAAATCTCATTTTGAAACTTAATTTTCTATTTTCTCATCTTCTAATTAAGCTTGCTTTTCCTTAAGCACCGGCACTCAAGACAAAAACGTTTCTTATTCAATTTTATTTTTGTTTTAATTACTATTATTAGAGCAGTATTGTTTTCTATTATTTTTCATTACAAATATACAGCTAGATTATGGTTAATAACCTTCTGTGGGAACCTGGTAACCTAACCATCCATTTATTAAATTGTTTCTAGTGAAAATTTCTTCCATATTCTAAATAACTGACTTATAAACTCAGAAACACAACTTGTTGGGGACTCCCTGGTCTTTCACCAAACTTTAATGGTTTCTACTCTTTTGGTTGAGTGATTGGGAGGTGGGGTGGGACTTATGATTTCATCCATCTAGAGCAGAGGTTCCCAAACTTATTTAGCCTACCAATCCCTTTTAAAAAATTACTCAGTGCCCCTTGGAAATCTACTTTCTTTAACCCTTTAAAGTTTTTTTTTAAAATTTGTGTCAATTTTATAAATGGATGGTTAGGTTCCCAGGTTCCCATTCTGGACTTTCCAACAATGCTCAACACACTTGCACACGCTCACCTGCCAACAGTTGCTTGTTAAGACCTGTCTGAAGACTTGACTCACACTTTTTGTGTTTATTTGAAAAATAATGTAATCAGCACAACTTTAATTCTGTTACAAAACATATGAAACATGTATGAATGGTTTTTCAAAATTTTCTTCTCCTCTCTTCTTTTCTTATGCTTCCACCACCCCTTTATCCTAATTCCACCTGAGGCTACCACCTCTCCCCTGGATAGTTCCAGTGCCCCTCTGGGGGGGGGGTATTGCCCACTTTGGAAACCTATGAGAGTTCCTAGGTAAGGAAATTCCCTCTACCAATGCAGATCTGCAATTGTTCTGCAATTTAAAGTCAACGACTGTCTGGCAAGCGTTCCTGGGACAGTGGAAGACTGTGATTTTTTCAAGGTCACACAGCCAGTGTATACCAGATGTGGAACATGGAACCCAGGCTAACTTGACTTATAGTCTGACTCTACTCACTTGTGCTACAAACTTTCCTTTGTTCTCTCCTTTCATCTAAGAATATTCTCTGATAACTGCTTCTCTCTTCATTCTTTCCCTCTTATCTTCATCTCTTACTGTCTCATCTTTTTTACCTTTTTGAGTCTTATGAACTAGTTGCTTCTGCAGAAGACTTTACATACTTTAAGTGATGAGCGCAGGTCATATTACTCAGCTAAACAACTGTCAAATAATTCCTGTCAAGTCTTTCTTGACTGAAAGTCTTCACTTTCCTTGCTCTTTTCTGAATACATATGGTTTTTCTTTGTTTTACTGGCACTATAATGCCACAACCTGAATGTCTCTAGAGTTTTGTAAGCTTAATGCTATCAATTCCCTTGTGACAGCAGAATTGAAAATCTGATGCCTCTTAGTGTCACAAGGTATCCTCTTTCTCCCTAGACTCTACTTGCATTATTTACACTGTTGACTCTGGGCATTTTCCCCTGTGTTATCCATAGAAATCAGAAGCACAGGATTGAGGAGACCCATACAAATTCATTATAGACTATATTATAGTCTGACTAGGATAGTTTAGTGTGTAAATTGTAAGATGAGAAGACTTACACTACAGAGTGTCTCCTCTCATGGTCTCCTGGTAGAAATGCAACCTAAACTACTTTAAAAATGTTTTATTGATGGGTTAAGAAAGGGACAAACATTAAAATCACTTCCTAATGACTTCCTTCCCATCCAATAGAATCCTTCCTTATAATAAAGTACAGTTAAGCAATACAAATCAACACACTGGCCATGCCTGACAATACGTGCTTCATTGCATACCTATATCTCACATATTGTCTGAGAAGTGGGAGGCATTCTACACTGCCAATCCTCTCAAGTTACAATTGGCAACCTAAACTATTCTAGCCAGACTACAGTCTATATCTTAGTCTGTAATGATAGAAGGGAACACATAATCCCCAGGAACCCAGTCCACATAATGGGGAAAAAAGATACTTTAAAAATAGAGAGGCTGAATTGTTAGTATAGTTGAACTCTTCCACAACCCCTAATAATGGTAAAAGTTTGTCTACATTTGCTCCGTCTTCATTTTTTATTGCTAACAGAAAATGGTTGATTCATGGATAGTACTTGATACTCACTAAATGGTTTATATATGTTTGCTTTATTTTATTACTATACTCAGGCAGCATGATCACCTGATCAGAACTTAAAAAGAATTGGGAGGAACATTAATTCAAAGCCCAATTCAAGTTTACCCACTTCCATGAGATTCTTTTTGTTGACATGAACCTATGTTGATGGCTCCCTCAGATAAACTCTGGGTCTCTCAAGTTAACACATGATCCTTCTCTCTTTGTCTCATGTGTGTTAGTCTTTTCTCCCCAAGAAGGTCCACAAAAGCAGGGACCACATCATATTACTTTAGTATCCTTCACTGATATTATCACATTGGTAATATGTCATGATGCAATTCCATCATAAATCTCTAATGGATTAAGCCTTGTTTTCTTTGGGTTTTCTCTGTGGTTTTACACACACACACACACACACACACACACACACACACACACACACACAATCTCTCACACCTCTTAATATGCCAGGTATAGGATATTTATATGAGTTGTGTTCCTCTAAAATAAATCAGATTTCTTTAAATGAAGAATTCTCTAGACAGGAGGGAAAGAGATTGGGCCTTCACATAAAAAAAATCATTATGTTGTCGTTCAGTCCTTTTGAAAAGCAAAAGTTCTTTGTCTTCTCTTAAAGCTAAGCACTAATGAAACCTTAAGTTTGGAACCCAAAAAAGAGAAACCCAAATACTTACAAACTAAGATGTAATTGCCAACATATGAGCAGAAAGTAAAAGGAAAGAAAAAGCAGTCCTAATATACTCTAACCTTTGGCAAAATAATAAATAAATAAATGAATGAGTGAATGAATGAATGAATGAAGATAGCAAACATTTACAGAGTGCTTACCATTTGCCAGGCACAATTATCATCTCATTTGATATTCAACAACAACCTTGGGAGGTAGGTGCTATTATTATCCCTATTTTCAGTTGAGGAAACTGTGGCAAATACATTAAACGACTTGCCCAGGATCACATAACTGGGGTCTGAGGTCATATTTGAACTCAAGTCTTCTTGACTCCAGGCCCAGCACTCTGTATGCCATAAGCATACCTTACTTGTTTCTATGCCACTTACTTCTAATGTCACTGTATACCACCAATACTGCCAAGGCAGGATTCTCTGGTATACTTGGATCTTTGTTTGCATTTCTGCACCTACCATAACTTCAGCTGTATGAAAGCATGACCCCTAAAACAAGTGGTGAAAAATGCTATTCTGGCAAAACCAAAGAAGTCTGCACACTTCTTTCTCCCTTTCCTTAATTTCTTTTTCCACCTGGGACTCATTTGCAAGCTGACTAAACCAAATGGACCAGGCTGTTTTGGTCTTCTTTTATGAAACCTATTTGTTTTTCTCACAAGTTTTAATTTAAAAAAATTCAATTGTACTTTTATTTTCAGTTCCAAATTCTCTTCCTCCCTCCACCCTCTCCCCTATCTACTGAGAAGGCAAGAATATATACTTAGTATATATATATATATATATATGTAAAACATATTTCCACATTAGCCATGTTATGGAAAAGTAAAACCCAAAAGAAAAGAGGAAAAAAATATGCTTCAATCTGTTTTCTGAGTCTTATCAGTTCTCTATCTGGAAGTATATAGCATTTTTCATCATTTCTCATGAATTTTGAAAGAAATTCCATTTCTCTGCCTTGACAACACTCACCTTTAGTTCTTTAGGCAAGTGTTTCTCTTCTCTCCACTTTTCTAATTCTGGTATAGTTGTCAGGAATGGGAACTCTTGCTTGGCACCATACGCTAAAAGACAAAGGAATATGAAAAGCTAAGATGATGATTTTATCAGTATTTCAATCTGGAGTTATACACATCTACTAAAAATTACCTGGGAGTGAATATGGCAGATAATTGCCTAACCAGAATGATGTTCTATAAGTGATTCTAGTGGTTCTTTAAACAAAAATCCATTTTGTTTCAATACAATGGACATTTCCTAATAAATTCCCTAAAAAAAGTAAATTCTCTGAAAACAGATGATTAGCAGAAAGCAAGAATATGTCCTTTGGCTGTAGTAGGATGATACTAACACTGAACGTTGTATTTGACTTGGAAGTATGCTGTTGACTTCATTTATGCATGGAGAATGCCAAGGTTTATGCCAAAATGTAGCATGACCATTCCTGTCACATATGTCCGTTAAGGAAAAATATGAACCAGAGGTGGAGGCCAGTGGTGCTATCTGCTTCATGTAATCTTGTTCTTGCCCAGAGCTTTATTTGTGCACCTATCAGGGAGATTTTAGGATGTGAAGGGACTATCATTTATCCAAGTTCCCACATAGCTACTGTCTATGTAGACTTACAACCAGGGATTTAACACAAGTTAAAAGGAATTTCCTAACCTCGTCAAATAGTTGCCTGGGACCATGGAGAGACAGTTGGTGTCAAAAGAAAAAGATAGACAAATGAATAGAATTAAAGTGAATCTATGGCCTCTGTTAACCTTTGATGGTAGTTTAACCGGGGGGGGGGAAGAAGAGATGGGGAGGAGTAGGTGGCTCATAGCCCTGGCTATATACTAAAAAATACCAGCCTGTCACCATCAGGAAGAGGTTTTCTAGCCATTGTACCCTAATACAATATAGTAGAGAATGGCAGTAGATTATAGTAGAGAATAGGGTAGCAGATGGTCTTGAAGGAGTTAAATAACTTAAGTTCAGAATATGAAAGTATAAAGCAGCTGAGCAATCCTAAAACTAATAGAAAAACTCAGCAGAGATGGCAGGCCAAGTAAAGACATGATGTCTAGCATAACACACCGGCAGTTCTGCAGTGCTGAAGGTATGAATTGCCCTGGCCACGTGTCTTCTGTGCATTCCTGGAATATGCCTCTGGAAATATGTGTGAAGGGGCATATTGCAGGAATGGACTATTTTTATGTATTTTCTGGTCCTGCTTCTCCTGTGTCTGTGCCCTCCATGGATATTTCTTGGTTCCCTGTATTCTCTACATATTCTTCAAAGGTATATCCCATGTGTGCATGGGAAACATTTTGTCATTTTCCTTACTATACTACTTGGTTAAATGCCTTTTGCTTTGAACTAATGTGTCCCCAGGATGGTAAAAGTAAACAATGTTGGGTTTAAGTTTCAGTAGCCGCCATCTTGCAGAATGCTTTGAATCTTACACATACGTGTGAAAATGCGCACATGCACACACACACATATACAAACTGTTCTAAGTCATTATCTTCTTTTGGCTCTGCTTTTTTTTCATGCTACTTAACTTATATAATCTTCCTACATTTCTTTGAATTCTTCATACATCATTCTTTAAATAGCATTAGTATTCCACTACATCAGGCTTTTTTTAAAGCCATTCTTCAATTGTTGAGCAAATATTTGTTCCTAGTTCTTGTTTTCTTGGTCATATGAATATTTTTGTACATGTGAGTCTTTTGTTCTCTCTCTCTCTTACTGTCAGTCTTCTTGGGGATACAGATGCACTGTACTGGGTCAGAGTGTATGCATAATTTAGTAACTTTTCTCATTAAATTTCAAATTTTCACTAGCAGTGAATCAGTGTGTCTGCCTTCTTATGTCCCATTTAGAAATGAGGTTTCCTTCTTCATTTCCTATCTACTAGCTGTTCAGGAATCAAGTTTTCTTGGCTAATAGTGCCATCGGACACGAGAAGTGTCCAAACTAAGTCTCTCACAGAATTTCAGAGTTGGAAGCTCCTCAGAGACCATCTAACTTGGTGGGCTGTTGCATTTCTCTGACCATTAGTCATTCTAAATATTTCCCCATGGTGTTGTTGATAGCTTGTATTTCTTCTTTCGAAAACTGTATGTCCATATACTTCGACCAATCTGGTGGTTGTTTTATGGGGATTGAATTTTTCTTCAGCTTATGGGATAGAGTTCAAAGACTGCTCTTAGATCTTTGAATACAATTCACTTGCGAGGAGCCCTCAATACACAGTCAAGATTTGGAAAAGAAAACAAAGTAAAAAAAAAAACAACTCACAAAAAACCCTGGTTTATAAAGACCTCTATTTGATTGTTAAGAAATAAGATTTACTTATTCTTACTCATAGAGAGGTTCACTGGAAGCATTCTCCAAAGTCATGAATGTCTAATGTTATGTCATAGGAAGAGCACTGGCTTTGAAACCAGACATCCCTGGTTTGAATCTCAGTTCTGCCATTTATTATTACTACCTGTGTGAAATTCTGCAAGTCATTTCGCTTCTCATGACCTCATCTTTAAATGAGTGAGTTGGTTAGAGAATTCCTAAGGTCTCTCTCCCATCTTTAAATCTATGAATAGCTGATCATCTGAACTCTGCAACTGCCACTTCCCTGTACACTAACCATTGCTGAGGACAAACCTATAAACCCATTCTCCTGATAATATTTTTAAATAATTGGAAGAAGTGCTAAATTTTAGACAGAGATTAGTGAAAAGAAAGATGTGAGTCTCCCCCTTCCTCCCATTTAAGTTCATGAATCCCTGGTTAAGAAATCCTGAACTAAAAAAAAATCTGCTTTATTTTATTGACAAACTTTGGAAAAATCTGCTTTTCTAATCGGTTCCTGCAACACAGGAAGTCATCAAATATATATGTGTGTGAAAAAGAAAGAGATGTTCACAGAGTAGATTTATGTAGCAAAGTTGTTTGTTTTTTTCCCCCCACAGCACAAAACCAGAAGAAGCAGACTGTCACTATAAGCGAAATTACAACTGGCACACTGCTAAGCACTCAAACCAAGGATTTTCCATCTGCTTTATAGAAATGAAATTTCATTATATCAGATTTCACAACATTTTAGGGTTCTCCTCCAAGTGTTTCCATTTAAGAATGTTTTAAAATAGGCTTTAAGTCTGAAAGAGGAAATTTGCTGGTATAAAAGAAATAAACTATAACAGCTGTGATTAAATGATTTAAAGCCCCATCACACATATATCCATTAAACTTCCTATTTTCTCTCTACGTCAAATAGCCCATCCGTGATTAATTTATTCAACTGCCAAATGCACAGCATTGGCATTCACAAAATCCAAAAAAATGGGAATGACCATGAGAACTTTCTGGTTGAGTCCCTACTCCTAGGAAGGTAAAGACTTACACCAACCAAGGCAGATGAAAGTCTGTCCTGTTTTTAAAGCTATCCAGGAATAGGTAGTGCAGTTTCCCCTGTGATTGGGAGCCTATTCCAGGGCTTAATCCCTGGGATAGTCAAGACATTCTTTATATCTAACCACCAAACACTCTAATTTAAACCCATACCCTCTTCTTTAGTCCTTTGTGGAGAAATGTGTGTGTGTGTATATGTGTGTATGCACGCATGCATGTATGAAATAACGCTTCATTTATTTGAAGACATTACATCCCACCCTCAGCATTTTCTCCACCTGGTTAAAAATATTCTCCTTGAATATTCTCCTTAGAGAACTTATTTTCAATCCATTTATTATTCTTGATTCCACTTCCCTGGACCAAACCCTCTTCTGTTTCTACCCATCCTTTTAAAAGCCCCAAATGGACATAGTATAGTCATCCCTTGTTTGCCCAGCATCTCACCCCATGAGATATAACGCTGAAATGAAACTCCTAGTTAACTTGAACTTACCTTTAAAAGGAGCTCATTTTTCTTTCTATTTTAAATATTTTGATGGCTAACTTTCAAATGTAGATGAAATGCTTCTCCACTATCTTAAACAGAATGTACCATTTCAGCGTTTTTTTTCATGACTTAAGGGTACCATTATAGATGTAAATGATTGTAATGTGTTATAACAGTGATGCTTTTGGAGCATATAGGGCTGCTTGTCCTTTTTAGTTGTTTTTCAGTCATGTCTGACCCTTCCTGACCCCATTTGAGGTTTTCTTGGCAAAGATACTGGAGTGCTTTGCCACTTCCTTCTCCAGGTCATTTTACAGATGAGGAAACTGAGGTAAACAGGGTAAATGACTTGCCCATGGTCACACAGCTATTAAGTGTCTGAGGCCAGATTTGAACTCAGGAAGATGAGTCTTCTTAATTCCCATCCCACCTCAACTGCCCTGTACTAGCCTTAGTAATGTGTAAATTTCAATCACCTCTGATGCCTATATCCTTATTACCAAATAAAAACTTGTGAGTTAGCTGTAACTTTATTAGCAATTCTGGACTGACTTTGCACATTTTCTCAAGTGCTCCTGAAGGCCGTGTTGGCTAAGTCTACTCTGCATGACATCTAACTGTGTGTGTAATAGGCACATGAAGCTGAAGTATTTCTCAGTAAGAACAGTGACCCTTAGATGTCTCATTTGCCCTTGGCTTCAGGGCTCCTCTTCTCTCTCCCAGAAGGCTGCTTTCTATGCAGCCACCCCTCCATGCATATAGGAAAGAAAGGGAAAGTAAGATGGTGGCACCATGTTGGGTGGCACCATCAATCAGAATTCAACTTCTTACTGACCTTACATAGGAGAGGTTATTTAGTCTAAGGAAAAGCCTATTACCTATTTGTCAATCACTCTTCACACTCTCACAGTCTGTGAGGGACACTGATGGCTGGGACTTTGGTGTTCTTAATCACACTTTATGAAGCTGTCATCAAAGGGAGGAGGTTTAAAGTGCTATACAAAAAGCACAGAGCTGTCACCTGTGTCATATATCATTTTCATTATAGGCTGAACCTAAAAGCATTCCTAAGCCATTGCCTATGTTCCCCTCATGCCTTTCATCCTGAATCATTTCAGCATCATCGCTGGAGAGTTTCCTCCAGCTGGAAGATGACAGTAATCAGAGGACTTTGTGATCTTCAAAGTGCTTTCACATACATGATCTCATTTGATCCTCTCAATAACCTAGGGAGGTAGGCAGGGAAAGTGCTATTATTCCCATTTTACAGATGAAGAAACACTTGACACCCTGCCTTAGCTGTTATTCCTTCTATCCAAGCCTTGGGCACTGAGAGTTATAAGTGCTTTATGTGTATGGGTAGCTCTTAGTCATGAAGACCCAGAAAGAGGGAATAGTTTAAATGCACAATGACCCATTTTGGAGGGAATTTTACATAAACTGGAATCAACAAGAGGGTGTAGCTCTTTGGATTTAATAAACTATTCCCATACAGGCTGTTGTTATTAATCTGTGTGCATCCCTGTGGGTAGGAACCTGGAGAGATATACATGTATATACTTGTTGAAATACTTGTTTACATCTCTCTATTGAGTATTTCTATGCAGTGAAAGTTTTTCTTTTTCATTATTTTTCATTCTTATTCATTATTCGCTTTGATTTTATTTCTATTATATTTCATTGTTTGCTCTGATTTAATTTCTCCAAATTGTAAACTTCTATTTGGAGCCAGCATGTGCCTGGCCTAAGAAACTTTTCCAAAAGCAAGAAAGTGGTAGACTTCATACCTGGGCAGCTAAATGGCACAGTGGACAGAATGCTGGGCCCGGAGTCAGGAAGATTCATCTTCCTGAGTTCAAATCTGGCTTCAGACACTGTGTGACCCTTGGGTAAGTCACTTATCCCTGTTTGCCTCAGTTTCCTCATCTGTAAAATGAGCTGGAGAAGGAAATGGCAAACCACTCTAGTGTCCCTGCCAAGAAAACCTCAAATGCGGTCACACAGAATTGGACATGACTGAAAAACGGCTGAATAACAAACAAATTATAGGACCCAGTGTTCTGAACTCTTAGGTCAGGGCTATGTTCAGGAGAAGAAAGCAAACTTGTCCCTCAAAGCAGCAGAATGTCATCCCCAAGATCCATTTCCATCTTCGAAATGACTTCCCTGCCTTTGTAATGATTATTACCTGAAGGCACATATGTGGCCAGTCACTTGTATTGATCATTAATTAGTATTAAATAGTGATAATTAATGATAATAGGCTCAAAGGATCATAGCTTTAGATCTGAAAGTGATGATAAAGGTGATCTATTCATTTTACAACCAAGGAAATTGGACCTCACCTACAATGTGTATGTGTGTGTGTGTGTGTGTGTGTGTGTGTATATGTTCACCTATGTAGAGGAAGTTACCTAAAGTGTCTAAGGTCACACTAGACACAGGTATTGACACAGGAAAGATTTGAATCTAGGTTCCCTGATTCTATATCCTGTGACTTCTACTGCACTACCTGCTTTGACATCAAGAAAGTCTTGATTTTTAACTCTTTGTCCAAAGTCCAAATGGCATTTGAGAGACAAAAAGAGGGAAAGGGGCTAAGATTCAGAGATACATATTATGAGTCCAAGATATTTGATGCTTTGTTGCTATGCAATACTGTCCGATATCACTTTGGGGTTAAGGTTCAGTAGGATGGGATCCATTCACCTCTATTTTGGACTGTAATGCATCCCCTAAGAATTAGAGAGATTGTTGTTCAGTAGGTTCAGTTATGTCTGATTCTCCATAACCCCATTTGAGGTTTTCTTGGCAGAGTTACTGGAGTGGTTTGTCACGTCCTTCTCCAGTTCATTTTACAGATAAGGAAAGTGAGGCAAACAGGGTTAAGTGACTCGCCCAGGGGTCACACAGCTAGTAAGTGTCTGAGGCCAGATTTGAACTCAAGAGGCTAAGTCTTCTTGACTTCAAGCCCAGTGCTCTATCCACTGTGCAACCTAATGGTTAGAGAGCTAAAGAAGGCACTGTGCTTCAAACCTAACCTAATAAATTTTACTAGATAACTGCTTTTGCAGGCATAATGCTAGAGTTTACATTTGTATCCTTAGCACCATGAACAGTATCTGGCATATAGCAGGTTCTTAATAAATATTTTCACGATTGATTCATTAATTCTTTCAACAAAATTTGTTGATTGTCTATTCTATGCAAGGCACCATGTGCTTAGCACTTCAAGGGATACAAAAATGTCAAGATCAATCAATAAACATTATTAAGCACTTACGATGTGACAGGCACTGTGCAAAGTGCTGGGGATACAAAAAGAACCACAAGACAATCCCTGCCGTCAAAGAGCATATAATCTAATGGGAGAGACAACATCCAAACACATATATACAGAGTAAGCTATATACAGGATAAATAGGAAGTAATTAACAGAGGGAAGGCACTAAGAATAAAAGGGATTGGGGAAGGCTTCCAGTAAAGCAAGTAAGGCTTCCAGCAAATTGTAACATTTACAAATATGACAGATAATGCAAACTAACTGCATCGACCAACTAGGGACCTTATCCACAGCATGTCTGACATAATACTCGGTATCCAATAGGTATGTTATAGTCAACTCATTTAACTAACCCCAATTAGTGCTTAAATATACCTACCATCTGGGTCTTTAAAGGTTAAAGTGATGAACTTGCTGGCAACCATAAACATGAAAATCACCCAAAAGCACGCAGCTAACAGAAGCCACTGGTGGTGCATGTTGTCAAACGTGAGCCATATAACTTCTGGTTCTTCCTGGAAAACACAGCTTCCTCCCCAGGAAACAAAACAAAAAAAGCCAACCATGGTAAATAGATCAATAAAACAAAAAGGTATGCAAGAAGAAAAGATCAACCCATAATTATTTTGCTGAATCATTCTAAACCATAACTAAATTATTCTCCTTCCTCTGATTGATCCCCTCTCCCACCAATAGCCTACGAAAGTCCTGCTTTAACATTTTAATTTCAGTTACAGATTGAGGAAACAACTCCTTCTTCCCCCCAATAAATCATGTCAATTTTCAAACATCCTTTGTACAGTGAGGGAAACACAAAAGTGTTTTGTTTGACTTTGGACTGCATCGCCATATGATTTTATTTGGGAAAGTAGATTTACCTTCCTAATTCTGTTTCAGGTGGTTAATATTAAAATGAGCTTGCAATGCCCGAGTTCCCACCAACTGCTGGCAGCCCAGGAACAGGTGGTAGAGGAAAGCCTGCCTGGGATTAAATGTTCACCCTGGGTAATCCACAGGCTATGTACTCTACAACAACATGATCAAGAGCAGACTGTGTTTAAAATCCTGAATTGCTGACAGAATAAAACTACAGCTTAAATAATTGCTAGGGGAGCAAGGGAAAGATTTTAATCATTTAAATTCCCCTGCATTTATTCGTTTGCCAAGACCTGTTCAGACAGGTCTTTCTTTGGTGGTTTCTCTTTTCCATGCTATCATTTACATCCTCAGCAACGCTATCAGTTTGGGTCTTAAATGTGTCATAGAAGTTGTGCTCTGTTGCATATTGAGAGACGTATGAAGAAACTGAAAGCCTCAGCTTGAGTCCTGGCAAGAAAACCAGAGAGAGAGAGAGAGAGACAGAGACAGAGACAGACAGAGACAGAGACAGAGAGAGAGAGAGAGAGAGAGAGAGAGAGAGAGAGAGAGAGAGAGAGACAGAGAGAGACAGAGACAAAGAGAGAGAGACACAGAGAGAGAGACAGAGAGACAGACAGACAGGCAGACAGAGACACAGAGAGAGAGACACAGAGAGAGAGAGAGACAGAAACTTTTATTTCACCTTTAACAATCAAACTAGTTAGAGAGACCTATATGGGCTGGCATGGTTTCCATCAACCAATTAAGGCCATTTATCATTTCAAGGCAAGAAAAGAGACTCTACGATTACAAATATTATTGCTGCCAGGGGCATCATTTTCAGGAGAATCCAAGCTATGGCTCTCTGAGCTTCGAACTCTGCACATTTAGAATGGAACAAAAGACAAATAACATCAGTATCCTCAAGCCTCCTGAGCATGCTGTCATCCCAAGAAGGAATGACAAACTATGTAGCTTTGTGTCTGTCAATCAAAATAGAGGTGGCACACTCAAAAACTAGTGAAGTATCTCCTTTCTTCTGTAATGGATCAGAAAGAAAAAAATGAACCAGCTTGGGAGATTTGGCAGAAACAGGCACTTAGTGACTTATTATAGGGAGGTTGGGAGTGTGAATATCCAGAGAACACAGACTGACGGCAACAGTGGACAGAGAGAGCTGACCTCAGAGCCAAAGGACGTGAGTCCAAGTACACATACTGATTGTGTGACCCTGGGCAAATCATTTCTCTCTAGGCAATCTTCTTAAGACTACAACTAACAGAGAAAATGCCAATCTGCACAGATAAAGGAAGCTCCATCTTCCAATAATAAATCCAGTCCCTATCCCTTTAGAGTAGGAATACTAGCTCCCCCATAACATCTGTGTACAATGATAATGGGGCAGCTAGGTGGCACAATGGATAGAGTGTGGGGCCTGGAGTTAGGAAGACCCATCTTCCTGAGTTCAAATCTGGCCTCAGACACTTACTAGCTGTGTGACCCTGGGCAAGTCACTTCACCTTGTTTGCCTCAATATCTTCAGCTATAAAATGAGCTAGAGTATCACTGAGTATCACTCCAGTATCGTTGCCTAGAAAACGCCAAGTGGTGTCATGAAGAGTTGGACAGAACTAAAATGACTGAACAACAATGACATGATGGTCTGTGTGTAGGCTCGGAACATTTATAGATGTGATACAAAGTATATAGAATTCATATTACAATGGCAAGAGAGTGTTAACCAATAGAAAGAACAATGAATTTGGAGTCAAAGGACTCCTGCCTAAATCCTAATTCCTGCCACCTACTTATTACCTACGTGACCTTTAACCTCTCTGGGCTTCAGTTTTCTAACCTGTAAAACAACATGACTGGATTAGATAGCCTTGGATTAGATAGCCTTCTAGTTATAAAACTAAGATGCTAAGAACATAGGAAACAGTGAATCATGCAAAGGATTCTCCTTCAGAGGTAAATAAAACTAGGTATCATTGGGAGAAATGCATCATGAAATGCATCTGTACTGACCATACCTTAATCTCCTTGGCTGTACACCTTATCTGTCTCACTAGGTTCCTTGGTCATTTGAGCATTCTTCCTTGGTGTCATACTGCCTCCCTGGTATGAGTCAAGGATGCCTTTTTAGTTAAGGTTTATGTGTCGAGAATGCTTCTGTAAGCCACCTTTTAAAATAACCCATCCAGGGGCAGCTAGGTGGTGCAGTGGATAGAGCACCGGCCCCGAAATCAGGAGGACCTGAGTTCAAATTCGACCTCGGACCAAACACTTGACACTTACTAGCTGTGTGACCCTGGGCAAGTCTCTTAACCTCAATTGCCTAAAAAGATAAAAAAAAACAAATAAAATAAGCCATCCAAATCCTTATACCATAATTCACCTGTAGACATATCCCTTATGTGAAGGCTGGCATTATTAAATGAAAATGATAATTATTTCTTCCTCTTAGATCTCCTAGCTCTCCCTTGCATGCTCAGGTGCCTAACTAATCCAGTCATGTGTGGAATGTTTTAAAATTCTTCTATTGATAGTTTTTGTTTTTATCTCACTTACATTTCCCAATACATTTTGCCCTCTTTCCCTTGCCAGAGACCAGTCTTTTATAACAAAGAATGAAAAAGTTCAGCAAAACTAGTAAATATATCAACCAAGTCCAATATTATATGCAGTGCTTCAGATATTCATCTTTTTTGTCATAATATTCCATTATATTCATGTGCCACATTTGTTCCGCCATGTCCAATTGATGGGAACCTGCTTTATTTCCAGTTCTTTGACAATTAACAAAAAAAAAGGCTGTTATGAATATTTTTCATATGGGCATATGCCTAGTAGTTGGAGCTCTAGGTAAAATGGTATGGATATTTTAATCACTTTGTTAGCATAGTTCGAAACTGCTTTCAAAAACAGTTGGACCAATTTACAGCTCCAAAGACAGTGCATCAGTATTGCACTGTCTTTCTATAACTATTCCCATTTCTTGTCATCTTTGCCAATTTGCTGAGGGCATGATAAAGACTCAGAGCTGCTTCTGTTGGCATTTCTCCTATTATTAGTGATTTTGAATACAGTTATTAACAGTTTGTACTTCTTTTGAGAACTGACTATCCATAGTCTTTGATCATTATCATCAGGAAATAGCTTTTGGTCTTATTTGTTTGTGTTAGTTACCTACATATGTTGGATTTTTGACCCTTGTCAGAGATTTTGATTCAGATTTTTCCCAACTGACAGTTTCCTCTCTTAATGACCTGTGTAAATTGGTAATGTAAGAGTTTTTAAATTTCATGCAACTGAAACTTTTTTTTTTTTGGTCTTCTGTGATCAAGAAATCCCTTACTTAGTGAAGAAATTTTCCCCTAACCACAGCAATGAAAGCTATCTGATCTGGTTCCCTTCTAAATTTTTTTATGGTTTGACCTTTAAGATTCAGATCTTGTTATCCATTTTGAGCTTATTGTGGCATATGGTGTAAGATGTTTGTGTAAACCTAATTTCTTCCAAATTGTTTCCCAGTTTCCCTAGCAACTCTTATCAAACAAGGAGTTCTTCAAGGTAGTTTGTGTTCTGGAATTTAATGAACACTGGTGCACTGAGTTCATTTGTTTCTGATTCTTTCTTATCTAGTATGCTCTACCAACTAACTTTTCTACTTTTTAAATCATCACCAAATGATTTTGATGATTACTACTTTATAATATAACTTGAAGTCTGGAAATGTTATTCCTCATCCATTCTTTATTATTTCCCCTGAGGTTGGCTTTCGGAATTTTCTAGAGACCAAGCTATTCAATGGAGCATTTGTTTTTTGCTCAAAGTCACAGCAGTTTTCCTTTCAGATTTTAAGAGCTGCTAACTTTTTCTATTTAGGTTATCCATGGTCATCTTTCCTTCTCCCCTGCTCCACTCTCACCCCACCCCCAGTTTTTTTAAATTTAAATTTAAATTAAAAATAATTTAAAGTTAGTTAGTAGGTGTTCTCCCTTTCAGGCTGGTATGTTAAACATGGAACAGGAGGAGGCCATGATAAACAAGGTACACAAGGCAAAGAGATGTACTTTCCCACTCTCTTTTCAACAGCTTCCAACTACTGCTTCCCTTCTTTCCATCTCAAAACTAGATTACATGGGGAATCTGGACAGGATGGATAATTAACTGAACTAAGGATAGGGGATGGGGTGGAGTGGGGAGGCAGAAAAGCCTCAGGTACAGCAAAAGCTAGCCCCTGACTAAAACTATATTTTTTTTAAAGTAGAGGTCTTTAATTGACCTTTTAAGCAAACCTTGTCAGTCTAGATTTATATTGGACAGTGTGTTAACTTTGTGGCCCCAGACTCCTGTTATCTAGTCTGTTGCCAGCAGAGAGAGTCCCTGCTGGAGATCTATACTCAAGGAATCTGAGATGCGAACTTGGTAAATACTGTACACTGTCCAGTGTATTTTGCTTTTGCAAGTTATGCACTCTCCACTCTTGGTTGAATTTATACAATGGTATAAGCAAATCAGTAAATGAGTAGTCCTGACAACTTGAAACCACATGGACCAAGATTACAGGAAACTACTGTAGTCAAGTTGGCAAAAAAAAACAAACCAAAATCTCCTGAAAATTGTAAAGCCACTTAAAATTCTACTTCTCTAATTTTGTAGCTACATATT